GCTGCCTTTGAGCTGTGATTCTTCTGCCTCATCTTTCCCAGTTCACTGGGATTATAGAAACATGCCACCTAGTACCTAGTCTCTAACCAGGAATTGATCCAGGACCTTCCATGTGGCCCCACACTGTGGAGGACAGCATCTTAGCACTGTGTTCCACCAAGAATGGACCTAAACATCTTTTAAATTACAAGTCATGTGAGGAGACTTTCAAGTTTGTGGAAGAATGAAATGAAAAGTATGAATTTATCTTGAATTTTGAAATCCATGCATAGTTGTATTTTTAAAAAATAATATATGTTTTCCAGGAACTATTTGAAAACCCTTAGCCCCCAATATTTGCACATGTAAAACCTTTAATCAGTGCAAAGTGGGTCAGGCAGTGGCACAGTGGCAATGCAACTGAATTCACATGGGAAGACACTGGACGCAGGACCTCCCTGTTCATGCTGGGTATACATGTGTGTCTGTGATCCGTTATTACATTGAGCTGAGATTGGGGGTGGACAGTGACATGAAGACCCAGTTGCAGGTGCCCTTTCTCTCTCTCTCTCTTTTTCCCTGTCTCTCTCATGGAAAAATACATAAATAAAAAGTCATGCAAAGAAATTACCAAATGAAAAAAATGAATTTGACAACCCATCTCTCAGCTCAGGCCTCCTAAATTTCCCAGGTGTAGCCACTATTAAAAGTTTCTTATATATGTTCTAGAAGGTTTATATGAATATACAAGGGATATGGGCATTTTTTACATTTTGAATCTTGCCTTTTTTTCACAAGAATAGATAAATCTTTGAAATTTTTTTCATACCATGTATGAATTGATTCAGTCTCATTAATGTCTGGGTGGTATTCCATTGATCGTACAAATGACCTCTTAAGGACATTTAGACTGTTTCTGACTTGTGTAATCATAACTGTAAAGTACATTTTTCTTAGTGAAATTAGTCACATCTGTTCATTTTGTTTTATCCATATTACCAGTCAAAGAGGCTGCCTCAGCAGAGAAAGAGGAGCTCTTTACACGATTGGTGGGAATGTAAATTAGCATAGTTATTATGGAAAACAGTATGAAGTTTCCTCAGAAAACTAAAAATAGAATTGTTGTACAAACTAGTAATCTCGCTACTTGACATGTATTCAAAGGAAAGGAAATCAGTATGTCGTAAAGATATCTGCACCCAGAGTTTATTGCAGCCCTATTCACGATAGTTAAGACACGGAATCAACTTGAGTGTCCACCAACAAAGAAAATTTTGTCATATATATGTGTGTCATATATATAAATGTGTCATATATATAAATGTGTTATACACACACACATACACATACACACACACACACACACACACACATATATGCAATGGAAAACTGCAGCCATTAAAAGAATGAAATCCCATCATCTGAGGAAAAATGGGCAAGCTTAGATATTATCATGTGAAATGAAATAATCCAGGCACAGAAAAAGAAATACCACATATTCTCACTTGCTTGTGGATATGCTTTAAAAATTACTTCATAGAAATAGATAAAGACTACAGGAGGCTGCAAAGTAAGAGGGAGGAAGAGAGAGAACAATGTTGGTTCACAGAAATAAAGTATCAGGTAGCCAAGAGGAACAATTGCTGGGGTTAAAAAAGACAGTTGGCTGAATACACTTGGTGACAATTTACTGCTTTTTTCCAGATCAATTTCATGTTTTCCATAAGGTCTCCATTATGACATATACTATATATATTTTCTCAACAGAGAACTTTACATATTTTTGTCTATTAAATGCCACGTCTCTCATGGCTAAATGAACACATGTTTTGAATGAGGGGCGGCTGTGGATAGAGAATAAACATAAAAATAAACACACAAAGACATACAAGTAGAGAAAAGCAGGGATCAGGTAGTCTAGACTTCTCTGATAGAGGCAGCTTACCCTGAACCATTCCCAGATTTATTCTTTTAAAGAGTGGAAAATGGGGGAAGTGGAGGTGGAATGTAAAGACAGTTGTTTTCAGATGCTAATCACCCGGAAATGCTAAGACACCTGGTGCCATGTAGTTCTATGTAAGTTTTTTCTAATCTTCTTTGGGCCAATTTTGATGAACATATGTGACTTCCTTTAACCCAATACTGTCTTGTAGTTTTGAACACAGGCAGTGAGCATATTTATATGTTAATAGCATTTATTGTCCTGTATATGACTGTCTATGGAACCACAGTTTTGCATGTGTCTAAAGGTCACTACATTTGTTTAGATTTGGGCCATTCCCTACAGTTAAATATTTCTAATAAGAATGTTTGTGGAGAAACAGAAAAAAAGGAAAAACTATTCATTGGATTGCATGTCTTTGTGCAGGAATGTCTTTGTTCTAACATGCTTTAACCACCATTCATCTGTACTTCTTTCATGATTATGCATACTTGCAATATAAAACATGAGATGGTTAAAATAAATTTATGTGTAAACAAAAGAAAGAAAATGGAGCATAAATAGTGTGAATGAAGGCATAACTGAACTAGAAAAAACTGCATGTCAACAGGTCTGTGGCATCAGAGCCTTCTCTAACAAATGTTTGCTTTGATGCACATATTTCTGCAAAGCATGTCATCAGAGAGAATAAAAATAAAACCTCTTAAAAAAATTTTTTTTTCCATAAGTGGTGTACTCTTGCTGGAGAGACACAGGGAGAGGGAATGTGAGAAATAACCACCACTCCCCAAGGGTGATGGCCACACTACAATCCTTTTTCCTCCATTCTTCTCTTGGAATTTTGGGCACTCAAGCACATGCACCTGGTGTGACTTTTCAAGTTGCCAGGCTTGGGACTTAAACCAGGGTTGGGTGTGTGAGAATCCAGTGCCTTAACCACCATGCCACCTGCTGACCTATATAAAACCTATTCTTAGCAGTAGGGAATAGTGGGAAAAGTCTTAGATATGGAAACAAAATCTGAGTTTAAGCTCTTAATTGTTGGATAATTTGGGTCAAGAAAGTAACCCTTTGGAATCTTGATTTACTGATCTGTAAGTTTGGAATATTAATAATACAAGGGGGTCTTCAAAAAGTTCACAGAAAATACAAATTACAAAAAAAATGCTGCATAATTTCAAATACTTTCTGAACCAAATAAACTCATTGTTTAATTTTTTTAAATGACAATTTACTACATATCTTAGAGTAATTAAAAAGGAAGTAAAAAGACAAATAACCTAAAATTGGGTAAAAGAATATTCTGCAATTCTATAAGAAGGAACTAAAAATAAACAAAAACATTCACATGTAATAATTTTACAAACAGTTTTAGTCACTGATAGTTTCTCTTTTGTTTCCAAACAAGACACAAACACAAAAGAGAAGACACACAGGCAGACTGATTTCACTCAACACCAATTGTAAAAAGACCACTGATAAATAAAAGCTACTTACCCATTAAGGAAATGTTCTATTGTGCCCAATGTGTAAGAAATCATGGATGGCTCCACATTAGAAAAATTATTCATTTAAGTATGTATATGGATAGGTCAAAGGTGACAGAGTGACTTAGGAGGTTCCTTGAAAACTAGATTTCACAAGGAAGTCTCCCAGACAGGCCTGGGAGATTTATGAACCTAATTGAACTTTGGTCAAGCAAAAAAATATCGTTGTCAATCTATAGATAAGCTTCTTGAGTCTTAGAGTTCATTATTAACAGAATAAATACATAGGGATATATTTTTTCTTTAAATAGTGCTGGACCCACACCATTATACTTTTATTCAGGCTTCTGAATCTTCTCCTAGGCCTATCTGAGTACTTCCTTATAAAATCCATTTTTAGCAAAGTAACCTGTTCTTCAGTTTAGCAGGAAACTACCCTCCATGGTATCTGATCATCCTCAATATCTGATATCCTTGACATCTGATCATCTTCGATATCTCATCAGGTTCCTCATCATCCGCCATATCCCAGGTGATGTCTGATCACCTTGGTTTGTCTTCAGCAATGTTAGGTTGGTTTAGCTAGGATCCCCCTGATTCCTGATGTTTCCTCTTAGCAATTTTTTACCCACCGACCCCTACCCTGCTCCTTAGCTGTAAACCCCGTGTACTCAGGCTGCATTCAGAGACAAGCTCACTCTCTTTCCCCACTGCCGAACCCTATTGCAATGGCCCCTGGTCCCGTCGCTACAGTCCTGGACACAGTCTGCCTCTCCATGCCTTAAAGGTATGGCCGAATAATTTTTTCTTTAACAATAGACACTTGGGATTTTAATTCTTATAATAAGTAGAATAAAAGGTGCAGTAGATTTTTCCTTTACAAAGAAGGAAATACGCAAAGATGAGAGGTTTTCCCTGATATCTCTTCAGGGCTGCTTTTTAAATTGAGTACAAACAGGTTTTTTTCAGCAGCATTGTTCTGATACAGACCTGAAATTTCATGTTTAACTCAGATTCTGGAAATGCCAGATGAGCTCTAACACAAATGAACCATTTGAGAAAAATAAGTCTCCGTTTCTTTACCTATAAAATGATGGCTACTACTTGCCTTGACAGTCGGTAAGAAGGATGAAAGGAAATGATGTCTGTTGAAGCCCTTTATAAATCTAACAAAATGTGATTATTATTAGTATTTTAAGTATAGCAAATAGATGCAGCAGGATATATAGTCTTTCAGATTAAAATTTCATAAAGGGCCCCTCACCTGTCACACACTAAACATCCCTCTGAAGGGGAGGACCTTGTTGACATTCGTACTTCTCTCCACCCCTCACTCCTGCACTTCTGCAGCCCCTCCCTTCTCCCCCACTCCCTTTTCCTACTGCAGGATCTGCCCATGGGCGTTCCCACAGGAGCAGAAGGGCAGGTGGAAGAGCATGTACTGACAGTGCCCTCAGTCTCTCCTGCCAGTGCCTGGCTATTTCCACTCATTAAGCCACAAAGTCAGAGTAAAATTCAATTCCTTTAGTGTGTGGCTGTCATTGTTCTACTCAGCATTAAGTTTCCAAGGTGTGGCAGGTGGGGTTACTCACGAGACACAGAGGCACAGGACTCCAGGCAGGGACTCGCTGTCTCTTAACAGAAAGTTGCCGTCTGTCCCTTCCTTGAGCAGCAAGGTCTCGCAGTCTCGCTTGCTCAGAGGGCCGTGGTAATAGGGCAGATCCATTGACAGCTGTCTTGTATCCCAGACTATCCTGTTAGTTTGAAATGCAGCTCCAAGTCAAAGGATGGTTCTCAGGAGAGAAGTTGAGGCAACTGGTTTGACGATGGGGCTGGTGGAAATATCTCTTCCTCCACTTGCTTGTGGGAGTGAGATGAGGTTGCTGTGTGGGACTCAGCCAGTTTCACAAGATTCAGGAAATGAAAAGGGTGGGGGTTATGAAGTGACCAAGACATTTCAACTTGTAACTGGCCCAAGTGTGATTTGCATGTGGGTGAGGACATGTCTGAGCACACAGTGACATGAATTATGTTCATGGCTGGGACTGCAAGCTTCCCAGAAATGCATGGCAGCCTGCACATCACTGCATATGACCAGTTTTTACCTTCTCTGACTACTAGTTTTCTTTCCAGAGAGTTGTCTTGGTCCCTTTAGTGTTTCTATAACAGAACACCACCAACTGAGTAATTTATAAAGAAAAGAAATTTACTTCTTACAGTTCTGGAGGCCACGAAGTCCAAAGTCAAAGGGCCAGCATCTCGTGAGCACCTTCCTGTTGTATCATCCATGGTAGAAAGACAAAAGTAGAAGGAAAATGGTGGTGGGGGTAGGGACTTATTCTTTTATCAAGAACCTACTCCTGCAATAATGACATTAATCCATTCATGAAGGCCAGCCCTCATGATCCAGTCACCTTTTAGAAGTCCCACCTCTCAACACTGTCGCACTAGGGATTAAGGTTTTAGCATGTGAACTATTGGGGGACATCTTCAAGTGATAGAAGGAGCATAACATGGCTTTTTCTGTAATAGGTACCCATTTTGTTGTGGAGCTGCTTCCAATTGGGCTATACTTAGCTGAGAACAGGTGCTCAAAAGTCATTTGGATGCTTAAAAATTTGATATGTCCAGACACAATGGGACAATTGAAGAGACAGGGTGGGGGCTGGGGGGAGGCTTTTACAGGTTAAATGACATGAAGAAGGGAAGACAGGGAACCAGCAGTTAGCGTAATGGCTATGTCGCTGGACTCCCACGTAGTCGACCGCGGTTCATGTCCCGGACCCGGTGGCTTAAAACTCACGCCGGGCGCGTGTGCGTGCGTGCCCAAGATCCCGAGAGGAGAATGGAGAAGGGATTGCGGCATGACCATCCCCCCTGGGGGGTGATTTCTCGCTTTCTGTCTCTATGTTTCTCTCTGTCTGTCTGGTGAGCGCACGCGCCCTGCAGTGAAAATATCTCTCAAAAAAAAAAAAAGAAGGGAAGACATTCATTGGAATTCAAAGCAATTGGGCACCATGGGGGAGGACAACCTGTCTAATGGATAAGACTCAAAAACCCGTCTTTTCTTCTTCCCCTTCTTCTTTAATACTGTGTGTGCACTTACAAAAAAAGAAAGAGAGAGGGGGTGGGGAGTGAAAAAGCACCCCCTAGAGTGGATGGCCTGACCACAGTCCCTTCTCCTCTGGGGATTTTTGGCATGCACTCACATACCCTGGCATGTTTTCTTTTTCTTTTTTGAGAGATTTTTGCTATAGGGCATGTGCACTCACTGGAGAGATAAAGAGAGACAGAGAGACAGAAAATGAGAAATCACCCCCACCCCCAGGAGGGATGATCATGCCGCAATCCATTCTCCATTCTCCTATCAGGATTTTGGGCATATATACACACATGCCAAGCATGAGTTTTAAGCCACCAGGTTTGGGTCTCAAACTGTGGGAATCCATCAATGGAACCATTACATCATCTGCTGGTCCTGACTCTAGCATGTTTTCTAAGCCACCTGGTCTGATACTCAAACTGCACATTAGTCATGTGGGATCCAGTCGTCTTAACTATACCATCACTGGCTGTCCCTCAAAGGCCATTCTTAACACTCTCAAGTACTGTGATTCTTGGAAGGGGGGCTGGTGAAAGGAGGGACACCTGAGTACACACTTAATGCAGGAATACTTCTTCAGGTGAAAGGAAAAAGGCTACTAGGACTAGGTTTGGAAACCTCGTTCTTTGAGTTTCTATCCTAGAGGATGGCAGTGATGTGTTTCCATGAAGAAAGACCAAGAAAACGTCTATCCTTCTGAGACATTTAGCCCTCTTTAGACCATCTAAGATAAAATCCCTTTTCCTACAGTCTTTCTCACCTGGATCAGATGATAGCTTTGGGAAAGGAATCATGTCACTTCTGTTGTTTGAGGGTTAGAACTAGCTCTAATAAGAGTAATTTCTAGTGCCTTTATGAGCAACCCATCCAACCTACATATTAATTAGTTAGTTGTTAATTTTAGATAAAATAATTTGTGCAAGCATAGCTGAAATCTGATGTTTTAAATTGGATTGTGTTTACTTAATCCTCACAATTACCATTACACAGTGTCCAATTGTGATAAACTACTTGTGGATTTTTTTCTCTGATTCATTGCTTCACTCAAGTATCTCTGGGAAATCACTATGTATCTCAAATACAAAGCTATAAAAATAAAACCATGTGCTCATGACTCATCCTTACTTTTATTAGCTTCTTCTTTTATACATAAAAGTTTTATCCTTTCATTTAGAAATAATCTTAGACTTAACAAAGTTGTAAAACTAGTTCAGGGGTCAGTAGGTGGCATAGTGGTTAAGGTTCTGGACTCCCACATGGCCGACCACAGTTTGAGACCCAGACCTGGTGGCTTAAAAATCACACCAGGCATGTGTGTGTGCATGCCCAATATCCTGAGAGGAGAATGGAGGAGAAGGAATTGTAACATGGCCATCTCCCTTGAAGAGTGATTCCTCACCCCTCCCCCACCTTCTTGATCTCTCTGTCTCTGTGGTGGGCTGGTCCTATAGCCTAGTGGTTAAGGGAGCCAAATTAAACTAACATGGCTGACTACAGTTCAAATCTTAGTCCTGGCCACTTGAAAATACATGTCAGGCACATGTGTATGTGCCCCAAATCCTGAAAGAATGGAGAAATGGGGGAGAAAGGACTATGGTGGGGGAGCTTTCTCTCTCTGTGTCTCTTGCAAGTGCACATGTCTTCCGGCATACAAAAATTTTTTTTTTTCCACAACAGAATTCCAGACAATAAATACAAAAAGAAAAATAGAGTACAAAAATCACCATTTTGTAATATGTAATAAAATAAATGATCAGGCAAAGAGTTTAATGGGTGAAAACTTTGGGAAAACATTTGATAACAACCTTTACAAAGGAGGGATCAAGTTGTCACTGAACATTCTGATTAGCCTTAGCATTTCTAAGAGTGGGACAGCCTGATGTTGACTGGCCACAAATTTGACGCAACAGAAAATATTCCATACCACAATGGACTTTCCAAAAAATGTGAACCTGAAACTAATCAAGCCCTTATAACTAACCTCTATTAATAGTTTGTAGGAGCAGAGCGGTAAGTTACAAGCCATCATGAGGAAGCAGACAGACAAATCCAGTGTGTGCATTCGTTCAAGAGAACAACTTCCTGTTTCTTTCAGGGGTCATAAAGACTGACTCAGATACTAGGGTGAGAACTGTCCTATGTTAAGAGAGATTTATGAGCCATAAACACAATATATCATGAAGATCTTGTTTTGATCCTGGTTTGGAAAAAAATATAAAGAACTCCCTGCCATTGGGGAAATTTTTGATTGAATATTAAGTGATACCAAAATATTTATTAATAATATTTTAAGTGCAGTAATAGCATTGTGCTTACATGAGTAATATCCCTAGAGTTAGAGACAAATGTTAAAATGTTATCTCTGAATCTGGGTGATTGTGTATGAAGCTCATTATATTATTGTCTCTATTTTTGTGTGTGTTGAAAATTTTCATAGTAAAAAAATCCTTCCATTCTTATTCAGGTTTAACATTACCATTGAGAACAGTTGCACAGTACATAGTGCATCTTAAATTTCTTCGTGGGTCTCCTTCCTCCCACCCACAGAAATAAAAACCTAGTGCTATGTTTGTAGAACAAGACTCTACCCCTGTGGTCATAGTGATAGGACCAAATATGGGCTCTTGACTCAAGATGAGTTAATCGAATCAAGAATTTGTAGAAAATGAGAAAAGGGAAGAAAAGAAAGGAAAACAAAAGAAAGAGAGAGCCAGGGGAGTACATAAAAGTTTTATCCTTTCATTTAGAAATAATCTTAGACTTAACAAAGTTGTAAAACTAGTTCAGGGGTCAGTAGGTGGCATAGTGGTTAAGGTTCTGGACTCCCACATGGCCGACCACAGTTTGAGACCCAGACCTGGTGGCTTAAAAATCACACCAGGCATGTGTGTGTGCATGCCCAATATCCTGAGAGGAGAATGGAGGAGAAGGAATTGTAACATGGCCATCTCCCTTGAAGAGTGATTCCTCACCCCTCCCCCACCTTCTTGATCTCTCTGTCTCTGTGGTGGGCTGGTCCTATAGCCTAGTGGTTAAGGGAGCCAAATTAAACTAACATGGCTGACTACAGTTCAAATCTTAGTCCTGGCCACTTGAAAATACATGTCAGGCACATGTGTATGTGCCCCAAATCCTGAAAGAATGGAGAAATGGGGGAGAAAGGACTATGGTGGGGGAGCTTTCTCTCTCTGTGTCTCTTGCAAGTGCACATGTCTTCCGGCATACAAAAATTTTTTTTTTTCCACAACAGAATTCCAGACAATAAATACAAAAAGAAAAATAGAGTACAAAAATCACCATTTTGTAATATGTAATAAAATAAATGATCAGGCAAAGAGTTTAATGGGTGAAAACTTTGGGAAAACATTTGATAACAACCTTTACAAAGGAGGGATCAAGTTGTCACTGAACATTCTGATTAGCCTTAGCATTTCTAAGAGTGGGACAGCCTGATGTTGACTGGCCACAAATTTGACGCAACAGAAAATATTCCATACCACAATGGACTTTCCAAAAAATGTGAACCTGAAACTAATCAAGCCCTTATAACTAACCTCTATTAATAGTTTGTAGGAGCAGAGCGGTAAGTTACAAGCCATCATGAGGAAGCAGACAGACAAATCCAGTGTGTGCATTCGTTCAAGAGAACAACTTCCTGTTTCTTTCAGGGGTCATAAAGACTGACTCAGATACTAGGGTGAGAACTGTCCTATGTTAAGAGAGATTTATGAGCCATAAACACAATATATCATGAAGATCTTGTTTTGATCCTGGTTTGGAAAAAAATATAA